TAAGATGGTTCCTGAGGCCTGGGCTCTACCACCTCTGGGGAAGTATATGGAAAAAGCCTTCAGATCTAAAGCTCTCTATTGCCTGGGTTTCCTCTTAGCTATAAAATAGAGATAATTATACCTTAAGTGTTGTTGAATGGGTTTAATCAAATAATGCTTGGTAGAATCTGAATCTGCAGGCAGTCTCGATCCTATGTGCTACCTGCAAAGCTTATAAAAATAATAGCAAGATTATGAATTACTCAGGTGGTGCTGGAGTTTGAATTCAAGCATGTTTGGCTTTTGGTTTAATGCCCTTGATTTGTGCCCGGCAGTGATGTAAGCCTTTTCCATGAAATTAACTCATTCAATCCTCACAGCTACCCTATGAAGTAGGTACTGTTATCTTTGTGTGACAAGCAAGGCAGTTAGAGTTAGAGAATTAAATAATTTTGCCTCAGTCACACAACTAGTAAACGACAGAGCTTGGGTGTCAACCCAGGCAGTCTGGCTCCAGAACGTCATCCCTGCTAGAAAGATCTTCAAGGAGCTAGCTTACTTTTCTAGTGTGCTTGCTTGTTTTGTATATCTCAGGAATGTAACATCAGTGGGCTCTTGTGTATCAACAAGATACCCTGACAAATTAAGACAAATTAATACCCTGACAAAAGTGCCTGCCCTGGTGATAAAATGAAGCTGGGGGCTAGGCTGAATCCTACCACCGTTCTTACCCAAGCACCGTTTGATGATGGCTGGGTCGGAGCGTGAAGACATCGAGACCCATGGCTGCCCGCCAAGCCCCTTGTGCACGAGCTACCGAGAGTCTTCTAGGTGAAGGCTATGCTGCATCCTTTTCAGATATGGTACGCCTGCTATAAAAATCCTTCTAGGTTATCCCCCATTTCATCGGTGGGGAAACAGGTTTTGAGGTAATGTTTTTCTCCTAAGGGGCAACGCCAGGACTTTATCCTAGGTCTTAACACCCAAAATAGAGTATTTTTTTCCACCAAAGGTAGAGACACAGTAAGGGGCAGATTTTGGCTTAGTATCAAGATAAGTTTTTTGAGCTGCATTAGGAGATAAATTGTCCATGTTGGATGTGTTTAAGCAGAGGTTCAACAAGCTCCCTGGCAAGTTTCTTGCAAAGGAATTCAAGTATCCTCTAAGAGATTGGACTCAACCTTTTAAATTCCTTTGACCCTGAATGATCAGATTATAGGAAATATGGGACTGAATTCATGGTAAAGCCAAGGCTGGAACCCAGGCCTCCTGATTCTTAGTCCAACACGTTTTCCATAATGGATCTGTTGTTCTGTGTAAGTGGTCTCCCATGTGCCCAGCAGTCAAAGCCAGAAACCTGTGTGTCACACTGGACTCCTTCTGCACCCCTCCGATAAACATAGCCATCAGGTCCTTTAGATTCTGCTTCCTTAAATGTTTCTTGACTCATCCTCTTCTCATACTCGGTTTCTATCCCAGTGCAGACTACCATCATCCCTCCTAAAATGTGGCATTAGCCTCCTAAAGATCTTGCCTCAGATCTTGCTACCTTCAGTCCATTCTTCACACAGCTAGCAGAGTGATCTTTCTAAAACCCAGATCTCCTCCTGCCATTCCCCTGCTGAAGTCCCTTTGACGTGGCCCATTGCTGGTTCCAGGATAGTCTAAAGTACTATTCTTGAAGGCTCTTCATGCCTCTGTCATCTCCAGCCTCGTTCTGCGTGTGCCACACGTTCTGTGTACTTCTCTGGCAAGAGAAAATCCTGTAGTTGTGCCCAACGCTCACCATGCTGTCTTGTCTCAGACCTTTGGACCTGCTGAGCCCTGGAATATGTTCCTCAGAGTGTCTCCTACGGCTCTTCATTCTCCAGGACTGAGCCTCATTCTGGAACGTATCTTGTGTCTCTGGTGGGCTTGGCTCATTGCCTCCGTGTTCTGACAGCCTCCTATATGTTCTTGAGGCATATTTAAGTATTTGTTGCAGGTTCACAAATGGAAACCTTTTTTAAAGAAAGGCAGGAAAAAGAGGTGGACTGCAGGAAGGTAAGAGAGACTTCCATTCTCAGTCAGGGTCAGAAGGTATCTGCTATTCAGCTCTGCTCAGTGGTTTCTAAGTGTGGGCCTGGTGGTATCGGATCTTCTGGTTCTTCCAGAAGAGCCAGAAATCTGCATTTTCATGTAAAAAAAATCCAATTAAAAAATGAGAAATAAATGTTAAAATTATTCTGAGACAGACAAAACAGCTCTCTAGGTAGATTCGTGGCAGGTTGCAATGTCAGTACCATCACTGTATGTTTACGTCTGTCTCTTCCAACTAATCTGAGTCCCTGCACAGTAAGAAACGTGTGTGGTATCCCCAGCACATACCAAGCAGGGAAAGAGTGAATGAGTCTATGTATCCAGAGCAAACTTAGCAGTACCGTGGCATGCCTGCAAAAGCCAGCCCTGGGATTCAGGTTTCCAAAAGGACTTTATATTTGACTTTGACATGATTGACTTCTGCAAACAGAATTATAGGGTGCACAGAAAGCACTTGGTAGAATTCTTGTCTTAGAACCACTCAAGCTAGAAGAAATTAAGTGTGGGCAGAGTGAGGGCTGTGCTACTTACAAATCAAATCAAAGGGCTTAGTGATTAAGACATAGGACTAAGTGTAGTGTCATGTGGAAAAACAGCTTCTCTCCAGGTTCTGTACATTTCTAGCAATGACCATGTAGAACAGATTCAGAAATAGGAGCTATTTATTAGCAGGTTCTATACAAAGTTTAATGATCTCATTGCCAGATACTTCTGTCTCTAAGAAGTTCATACTAAGTTCTCTCTAATGTGGAGACAACTCACTTAGGAACACTGATTACACCCACACCCAGTTCAACACCCACTGGAAATGTCTCACTTTACATTTCACTTAAAAAAAAAAAAGTTGATTGCATCAATAGAGAAACAGTCTAAATTTCATCAAATACTCTCCTAGCTACATAGGTGCCTCAGCTTTCTGAGCTGAGATCTAGAAAGATCCTGTACCTATCAAATGGCTGGTAGCAAAAAGGGCACTAAGCAGGACTTCCCCAGACCTCCAGGCTGGGAGTCAGGTCTGTGCGGATCTTACTCCCACAAACCCCTCCCTTTTTTTCCTTAAACTCAACTCTACGCCCAATGTGGAGCTTGAACTCACAACCCTGGGATCAAGAGTCATATGCTCTTCTGACTGAGCCAGTGAGGTGCCCCACTCCGATAGGCCTTTTAAGGAGGTGTATAGTAGAAGGACATCAAGACACAGCATCAGGTTCTAACCTTGGCTCTGCCACTTCCTTGGCAGAACTTGGAAAGATCCCTTCACTTTCCATTCCAATGGTCTTAGCTCACCTTTTCTTGCCAAGCCACATCTTAAGTTGCTGTTCAGTCTGTGGATTGGCTGCCTTGTCAGATACCCATCTGAGCCAAGGAGGTAACAGGATCTCATGGAGCAAAAACCAGCTTTCTGGGGCTGTGGCTTCAACAAGGGCTGGGGTATTGATTATGGCTGCGATAAATACTTAGTAAATGTTTAAAAGTTGCCAAATGTTTGGTGAATAAACAAACACCTTATTCTTAAGACTCAGCTTGTGTCATGGTCTTCGTGATGTCTTCCTTACTTTCCCTTCCATCCTGGTAGGATTAGGCCATCCTTTAGGCCATCACTGGACCTTGTAACTATTATAATGTTAACACACTGTATCATTGTCTGTTTTCTCTCTCACGTAACTCCTGAGGGCAGGAATTATAACTTACTCATTCCCATACTCCCAGGGCCCAGCAATAACTAGTCACAAAAAATTAGCGGACTCAGTAAATGGGCATTAAAGAGAAACGAGAGAATAGAGTCCATAATTCCTTTTGAGCTCCAGCATTCTACAAATCTGTGAAATAGGCTGCGAACCATATGTTACGAACCATAACATGAAACTAGTTGACACACAGCAGACCCGTTAATCAAAATGCAATGACAACAATGGCTTCAACTTAGTCCTCACTACATGCCAAGCAGTGTGCTAAGACATTGTATGAATCACCCCATTTAATACCTACAAAATAACTCCAGGTACTGTTATCCCTATCTGACAGACGAGAATACTGCAACTCTAAGAGATTAAATAAATGCCCAAGCATCGAGTAGCAGAAAGCCACAGTTCAAAGTCAAGGCTATTTGACACCAAAGCCCATACTCTTCTTTAAAGAGGGGGAGGAATGAAAACTAAGGTGATGCTTATAATTTATTAGAGTTCTGTCTATTCTAAGGCTTCACAAAAGATAGCTGGTATTTAACAGAACAAAGACTATCCATGGTGGTTACAGAGCATCTAGTCTAGCCCCATCATTTTAGAGCAAGAGAATCTGCGGCTCGGGGAGAACTGTCCAGCTAGGCTCAGGTTTAGCTAGTAGAACAGCTTGCCTAGAACCCAGGGTATCAGGGCCGAGCTCCTTCTGTTGCTGTTACTGGAGTGCTCCGTCATTTCACTCAGGGTTCCGCTCACTGGCCATCTGCAGAGACTTTTCCTGACCACATACCTGAAACAGCCTTCTTTACTCTTTGTCTTCTTATTCTGCTTTATTTTTCTTCATAACAGGTTCTACTTACATTATGGATTTATTGTTTCTTTTCTCCACTAGAATATAAGCTTTGTGGGGCTCCTGGGTGGCTCAGTCATTAAGCATCTGCCTTCGGCTCAGGTCATGGTCCCAGGGTCCTGGGATCAAGCCCCGTATCAGGCTCCCTGCTCAGCCAGGAGCCAGCTTCTCCCTCTCCCACTCCCCCTGCTTGTGTTCCTGCTCTCACTGTGTCTCTCTGTCAAATAAATAAAATTTTAGGAAAAAAAAAGAATATAAGCTTTGTGAGGATAAGACTTTTGTTGCTGTTTCTCTGGAGTCTATGGCAGTGTCTGACATATAAGGTACTCAATAAAACTTGGTTGAATTAATGGGTAAACATTCCAAAGCTTCAATTGCAATATAATTTTAATGCTCTGAAACTTTTCCTTGGCTTTCTTCAAAGCAGAAGGCTTTATTTTTGCCTCTATTTCCTCATATTTCTGGCCTAACATTTAGTGTATTATATACATCTGTCTTCTCCCCTGATTTTCAGTTCCCCTCAGGGACCTGGCCTTAGTTATCATGCATCCCAAAGCCTAGCACAGGATCTGGCGTGAACAGCTGTTGAAAAGGGGAGGCCGGTGTGGAGATGCTAAGAGTGATGATCACAGGCATTGTTGCTTAGTGATTTATTCTCCTTAAGGCTCCATCAGCATGTGGAATGGAAGACCCCTCCCACTCTGATGCCTTGGGCAGCCAAGGCGTTATACTCCTTCACTGCCTGCTCTGTCTGGAGGACGCGCACATCAATGCCTTGTTTCTCGAGGTACTCCACAGTGGATGGAGGCACCTGGGAAGAGGGAAAAAGATAAGTCAGGGGAAAGGCCCTCCTGGGTTTCCTTTCCTGCCATGAGGCAAGGGTTCTCTACAAAATTAGACAATGATAACGGTCACTACTCGATCACCCAGCGTGTCACCAGTCCAAAACTTGACAGGGAGCCCCCAAGGAGTCAGAAAGGCTTCTAAGAAGTTGACAGAAGCATCATGCATGCACAAAGCTCAGGTGAAATGGACATGGGAAGAGGATTTAAATCTTAGCAGTGTGACCGTGGGTAAGTGAATTCAATTCTCTGACCCTTTGTTTCCATGGCTGTAAATAGGAATAATGATACCTAGCTCACAGGGCTAGTATGAAAACTAATTCAGCTAAGGTACAGAGAATGTCTCGCTTGTAAACGTGAACGTCTGAGTCAGTCCAACCTGAGTCTGAAGTCTAACTCTGCCATGTAGGCCAGCTATCTCAAGTTTCTCCACCCCAGTTTCCTTCTCTATAAAATGGGGATAAAAATACACACAGGGTGGGGTGAGGATGAAGTTAACTAATGTATGGATACCGCAGCTCAAACGTCTCCTTAGGCCTTTCCTGACTGCTCCATTTAGAGCAGCCCCTCATAGGTCTGTCTTCACAGCATTTGTTGCAATCTGAAATTGTCTATTATTTAATTTTCCAAGAGGGTCATGACCCTTGTTTGTCTTGTCTCAGTGCCTAGAAGAGTGTCTGACCCATAGAAAGCACTGAATGAATGTTTGTAAATTAATTTATATAAAAGATTCTCAATAGTGGCAGCTATTATTGGATATTTTTTTTAACTCTGGCTTATGCTGAATATTATTTTAAATTGACTTTAATTAGATTCTGCCTCCTCAGAAGGAGCTCTGAAATATTTTTTAAATGCCCTATATTTTTCTATGTTTGAACAATTTTATAATAACAATAGCCTTATAGAAAGGAATTATTTTAATGGGAAAAAATAGGTTAAACAAAAAATAAAGAGCACCTTTATCGGTAGGGAAGTAGATTTTAGGACATCTATATAAAGGAGAGAATGAGGTAGATCTCTCCGCACTTACGTGAAGGACTGTTCACAATGTAATAACGTGAGTAAAAAGTTACAGAAAATACGTACGATGTGATCCTATTTATGTAAAAATGATTCTAAGTGTATACATGTATGTCTGTACGCCTAAGAGTATATATTTGTAGCTGCATGGAGCAGTAAACATCCAATGTGGAGATGGGGGTGGGGATCTTCCACTTTTCTACTTCAACATTTCTGCATCAACGGTTTTGCAATAAGCATGTATTATTTCTGTAAGTGCAATAAAAATATTTTTTTCGAAAGGGGAAAAACATGACTGTGTTCAAGGAAAGAATAAAAAGTACTATAAAAATGTGAAGTACTAAAAAAAACGTGAAGTACTGTGAAAATCTAAAGAACCAAATATTGATAGTTATAGAGCTTGAGAATTCCAGGAGTGAAGAATTTCTGAAATATAGTTGAAACAACACAGGCCTAGGGTAAGGCAGACTGGACAGTCCAACCCCAATGAGGGAGAGTACTAACATCCCTTATTTTATCCTGGGCCATCCACTGGCTCGGCAAAATGAGGGTGCATGATATACTGAACTGAGCTCCCAAGAAGGACATATTTCTAAGGTAAAGGTCCAAGAGGTTACCAACTGTCCTCAGGAATGCTGTGCTCACCAATACCTACCTTCAAGGCCTCACTCATCCCTCGGCCAATCACAAGGGTCTGTACACCCTTCTTGACAACTTCCTCCACATCTGCAGGCTGCACACCAGGAGAATGCTGGATGTGGAAAGAGAAAGTATACCAGCTACCTGTTCTTTTAGCCTTTCTTTGCAGTTGGCATTCTTGTGGGATTCGGTCATTCACCCATTAATTCACTGAGAAAATGTTTACTGAGGTTTATTTTGTGCCAAGCATCATTCAGGACCCTGGGAATAATAGAAGATTCGATGCCTTAAGAAATGCTAAGTCTAGTGAAAAATATAAGAGACTAAAAAGAAATGTCAATAGTTTTACAAGTGCTACAAGGACATTAGTTCAGGGTGTTGTGTCAACATAGGGAAAGAGCACCTAATTCAGACCTGTAGGATCGGGGCAAATGGTCAGGGAAGGCATCCCACAGGAGGTAAGCCAAGGTGTAAGCTGAGATCTAAAGGACAAATAGGAATTAGCCAGGTTAAAGGAAATCAGTGGAACAAAGCATTCCGAGTACAGGGAATAGCAGGAACAAAGTCTCAGAGGAAAGAAAAACCTGGAGTACTAAAGGTAGTTCAGTATGACTAGAGTTTAACAAGTGAGAGAGTGGAAAGAGGGTGGGAGAAGAAAGCACTTGCATACCAAGGCAAAATTTGGACTGTGGAGAGATTCATAAGAATCTACCTTTTTCTGAGCTCCTTTCCCACTTAACTCAAAAGAACTTCTGTTGATGCTTTAAAACCTGTCACTCCATAGTCTTTTTTTTTTTTTAAAGATTTTATTTATTTATTTGACAGAGAGAGATAGTGAGAGCAGGAACACAAGCAGGGGGAGTGGGAGAAGGGAGAAGCAGGCTCTCCGTGGAGCAGGGAGCCCGATGCGGGACTCGATCCCAGGACCCTGAGATTATGACCTGAGCGGAAGGCAGACGCTTAACGACTGAGCCATCCCGGCGCCCCTCTCCATAAAGTCTTGTCAGATTCTCCCAGGGATATTAAAGATAAGGTGTTTAATGACATTAATCCAACATTAAAGGACGGTAGCTTCTGAATTGCTTCCACTGCAGCAAATGGGAAAGTGGGAGTTTGGTAAATACCAGCCCAACTACTGGGCTTCACCTATTACGTATCTGTAAAAGGATGACACTCTCAGCACTGAAGCTCGGAGACAAAAGCTCTCCTTCCCTGATTTGTCTATCTCTATCCTTTCATTCAGTCAAGAGGTATTTACTGAACTTACTCTGTACCAGGCTCTATACTCAACACTGGAAATGCTGAGATGAACCAAACAGTCCCTGGAGTTTTAGTCAGGTAAGGTTAGTGACTGTGTGGAAATAGTTACAATAGGATAAGATAAAATAGAGTCGAGGGTCTCAGAAGAGCAAGTGAATAAATCTGAGTGGGAAGTTGTCATGAATAACATGCTATTTTAATTGGGTCTTGAAGTCTGAGCAGAAAGAACTATGCCTTGATGCAGTGGTTGTGGAAGGGGTACATTCTAATCACAGTTAGAGATGGTAAAGGAAAGAACTGAAAACACCATGAAGACAACAAATGTACCAAAGAAAGAAGTTCCTCAGTTTTGAAAGATGATAGAGGAGATAGGAATGAAATTTATATATTTATAAAGGTATAAGGAAAGTAAATGAGTCTTTTCATTAAATCCTGAAATATCTTGGGGCGCCTGGGTGGCTCAGCCGTTAAGCGTCTGCCTTCGGCTCAGGTCATGATCCCAGGGTCCTGGGATTGAGCCCCGCGTTGAGCTCCCTGCTCCGCAGGAAGCCTGCTTCTCCCTCTCCCACTCCCCCTGCTTGTGTTCCCTCTTTCGCTGTGTCTCTCTCTGTCAAATAAATAAATAAAATCTTAAAAAGAAATCCTGAAAAATCTTAACATGTTTATAGTTACAGTTTTCATAATACGTCTATAGAAATTACTGCATGTGATATCTATAGTGATCCTATAAAGTAGCACTAAAACATCCATTCTTGTTTTATAGATGAGGAAACTAAAGCTCACAAAATATATACACATTGGCCAAGATGACACAACTTTTAAGTGGTGGAGCTGGGATTTGAACTGAAACATGTTTAACTTTCAGTTTAATGAACTTCATTAGAATACTATAACCCAGGGAGCAACTTTTTTGAAACTTGAAAGAAATAAATCTACTGACCACATAGAGTTGTGCCTGGCCCACTGCAGGTAGAATAATTGTTAGTTCAAGTGTGAACCTGAATCTTCCCTAGAACAATCTCTCTCTTTCTGTTTCTGTCTCTCACACATAAGCTAAAAAAACCATAGAGGATACAGAATGGAATATTTGAAAAATAGTTGATTAACCCCACAAAAAGGAATGAAAAAAATGAGGTCAAACAGAAAGCAAATAGCAAGATGAAACTCTTAAACATAGCTATATCAATAATAATATTGGACTAAAGAGTTTTATTTATTTATTTATTTAAGATTTTATTTATTTATTTGACAGAGACACAGCGAGAGAGGGAACACAAGCAGGGGTAGTGGGAGAGGGAGAAGCAGGTTTCCCGTGGAGCAGAGCTCGATGTGGGGCTCAATCCCAGGACCCTGGGACCATGACCTGAGTGGAAGGCAGACGCTTAACGACTGAGCCACCCAGGTGCCCCTAAAGAGTTTAAGGCAAAGATTGTCTAGATTAAAAAGCAAGATCCAACTAAACACTACTTACAAGGTAGGCACTTTAAATACAAAGACACAGGTTGAAAGTTAAAGGATAGAAAAAGACATAAAACACAAACACTAATAAGAAAGATGGTGTGGGGACATATATATATATATATATGAGATATATATATATATATATATTTTTTTTTTTTTTAAGAGAGAGGGGTGGGTGGGGCAGAGGCAGAGGGAGAATCTTTAGCAAGCTCCACACCTAGTGCAAAGCCCCATGTGGGCTCAATCTCATGGCCGCAAGATCATGACCTGAGCCAAAATCAAGAGTTGGATGCCCACCTAACTAGACCACCCAGGAGCCCCTGGTATAGATATTAATATCAGACTTATCTGATATTAATCAGATAATATCAGATTAAGTAGACCTTAAGACAAAAAGTATTACTACAGGTAGAGTGTTGTATCATGATGCTTAAAGGGCCAATTCATCAACAAAAATATAACAACTCCAAATCTGTATACTGTTAGTAAAAGAGCTACAAAATATAAAGACAAAAGTAACAGAACTAAGGGGAGAAATAGACAACACCACCCATAGCTGGAAATCTTAACAACTCTCTCTCAGTAATTGATAGAACAAATAGACAAAGAGTCCTTAAGGAAATGGAAGATTTGAGCAACACTATCAATTTGTCCTAATAGGACATTCCTGGGTTATTACCCCCAACAACTGCAGAACACATATATTTTCACGAGTACATGGAACATTCACTATGACAGAGTAAAATTTAGGCCATAATTTAAATGTCAGTAAATTTAAAAGAAATGAAATAATACAGAATATTTTACCTGACAAGAGATTTAATTGTTTACAATAAGATATTTAGAAAAGCCACAAAGAAATTGGAAACTGAACAAAGTATTTTTAACCAAAGGACAAAGGAAAAAATATATTAAAATTTGTGAAATACAGCTAAATATACTTAGAGGGAAATTTATCACTTTAAATACTTATAGAAAAAAAATGGTCTAAAATCAATGGTCTAAGCTCTCACTTTAAAAAGCTAGAAAAAGAAAAGCAAATGATATCCAAAGTAAGTAGAAGACAGAAAATAATGAATATATGTGTATAGATTAATGAAATGGGAAACAATTCAGAAAATCAACAAGGTCAAAACTTGATTCTTTAAAAAGATGAATTGATAAAACCTTTGAAAGACTGATCAGGAAAAAAAGAAGACATAAATCATAAATATCAAGAATTAAGGGGACATCACTACAGATCCTACAGATATTAGAATAAGAAAAAAATACTGGGAACAGCTTTACACTAATAAGCATGGCAGATGAAATGGACAGATTCCTTGAGCAACACAATTTATTAAAAATAAGAAATAGAAAATCTATAGTCCTATAGCTGTTAAGAGATTGGATTTAAAATTTATTTATTTATTTATTTATTAAAGATTTTATTTATTTATTTGAGAGAGCAAATGAGATAGCATGAGAGGGGGGTGGGTCAGAGGGAGAAGCAGACTGCCCGCTGAGCGGGGAGCCCGATGTGGGACTCGATCCCGGGACTCCAGGATCATGACCTGAGCCGAAGGCAGTTGCTTAACCAACTGAGCCACCCAGGTGCCCTATAATTTATTTTTTAAAAAAGACTTATTTAGGGGTTCCTGGGGGCCTCAGCCATTAAGCTTCTGCCTTCAGCTCCGGTCATATTCCCAGGGTCCTGGGATCAAGCCCCACATTGGGCTCCCTGCTCCGTGGGAAGCCTGCTTCTCCCTCTTCCACTCCCCCTGCTTGTGTCTCCCTCTCTCTCTGTGTCTCTGCCAAATAAATAAATAAAATCTTAAAAAATAATAATAAAAAAATAAAAAAGACTTAGAGAGAGCACGTATATGAGCAGGGGGAGGGGTGGGAGGAGGGGTAGAGAGAATCCTCAAGCGGACTCCCTGCTGAGCAGGGAGCTGGATGTGGGGCTTAATCCCAGGACCTTGGGATCACGACCAGAGTAGAAATCACGAGCCAGCCACTTACCTGACCGAGCCACCCAGTCACCCCTCAACTTATAATAAAAACTTTCTAGGTTTTAAAGAAAAAATTCTAGGCACATATGACTTCTTTGGTGAATTTTCTTTTAAATATTTAATGAAAATCCTCAAGAAAACATTAACAATGTTTTGTTAATTGGTTCAACATTGAAAAATCAATGTAGTTCACCATAAAGAAGAAAAAAGCATGTAAATTATCTCAATTGATGCATAAAAAGTATTTAACCAAGTTAATGTATTTATGATTAAAAAAAAAAACAAATTCAGCGGGGGCACCTGGATGGCTCAGTCGGGTAAGTGTCTGTCTTCGGCTCAGGTTAGGATCCCGGGGTCCTGGGGGAGCCTGCTTCTTCCTCTCCCTCTGCTGCTCCTCCTG